CTTGCTTTACTTGCTGTGGAATATGAAAAAAATATAATTCACAAAAATAAACATTTTCATTTAATTTTTCCCAGTACATAGTCTTGAAACGCATACCATCATCATCATCAACTACTCAACATCAACGGCAACAAACAGCGGCAGCATTTTCCTTCATCTCAAACAACTTTACTTCGCTTTGCTTCAAGACGGGATGGAGAAATGAAAAAGATTTTGAGAATTTTGTTCCTTGTGGGGAAATTTTGTCAAAATTCTTAGGTTTAGATGCTTTACTTATTAGCTTAAGGAAACGGCAATACAAGAAACAGTGATGGAAGTATCGAAAAACAACTGCTTTTGACCTCTTCTTGCTATATTGATTATTTTTTGTATAGTTTGAACTTAGTTCAGTATGTAAGGTATGAATCAACCTCAGGCTAAGCCTAGAACAATAAAAAACTTTTCAGAAATTCCATAAAAACCCTCAAAAAATCTCTCCAAAGTTCATCACAAGAGCTCTTAACTTACAATATTCTTCATGCAATTATCGCACAAACAGCTTCTTGTGTACATAAAGTTTAATACTCTCACGCTCCTCATTCTCGCTCTTTTACCATTGACTATGTGGATTATATTTCATTATATGTACAATAATATCATTGCAAATTTTCGCATCCTGAACTTTTTACTTTCGTGGGGTTGTTCATCAATGATGTTCGTTTTGAGGTTGAGTTTTTAAGAACCTAGAAATTCTTTAGAAATATTTCATAGTGTTACACTCCTAGAGCAGGGGTTTAAAAGTTTAACTTCATTTATGAGCGACTTTTGCTTATAACATCAATTGTCTGAGATTTTATGTAGCTTAAAACAGAAGAATAATTTTGGAACAAGAGTCTGGAAATCCTATTTTTTGATAGACGTCATTTATGAATGACCCTTTAATGGAAATTTTCTTTTTCTCCGTCTTCTTCTTTATTCTTGGTAAAAAGCATTCGTGCTCTTCCCATTCTCGTCGTGATTCATTTTAGCAAAAATTTTAAGTAAAAAATAAGGGAGTAAATTATGATTTCTTGTAAATTTTTGAATGTTCAAGCTGCTTCTAGGGAAATGACTTGTTTGCCTTGATAATTAACGAGTTCTTGGAATGTATGAAGGGGGTCTTATTGGGTTAAAGAAAGCTGGATTGATGAGAATTGAATTTAGGTCCCGACAGAACCTTAAGATTGAATTTTGAATTGTGAAGGAGGAATTTTGTCAAGTTGAGGTGCAGCTGAAGTAGGCTGAGTGCCTATTTGCTTACTGCAGAGTTTGTGACAACTTTCTATGCAAATTTCAATGCTTGTGGAGGATTCTCTACTTCCCTGAACCCCTCTTCATGACCTTCAACTTTATGAAACTACAAAATAACTTTTCAACCCCTTAAACATCCAAATCAGCACCCCATTAAACCAAGATAAGCGCCACAAAACCCAAGGATTCTCCAACTTACTTCCTTTCTTCCCTCGTCTTATGTTCTCTGAGCACAGAACATGAATTATTCAACAACAAGTATCTGTTTTAATTCAATTAAGAGAAAAAAATTAAATATTTCATGGTGCTTTTATTCTTCTACTTCTAAATTTTTATTCCTTAACTGCCTCATGCCGACTCAACTTCTTATTTTATTGTTTTTATAAGAAATCTCATTTTCTATTCTTATTTTTGTTGTAAAAGTATTTTATGTTTCTGCTGCTTTAAGGAGTGTGGTCTAAGATTTTTCGAAAAAGTGCTCAGATTTTTTTTTTAATAACCCTTGGGTATACTGAATGAAATCAGGTGAATTCATACTTTTTCTATGCAAGCAACATCTGTGGTCGACACAGACTTACCCAACAGCACTGAATTCCACATAAATGAAAGGCACAACAGGAAATGGAATTTAAATTAAATAAAATAATTTTTATGAAATAAATAAAAATCCGGGACATTCTCAGAATTCAGTCACAGCAGAAGACAGCACGTGGACTTTGCCTTAGGCTAAATTTAGAGTAACAGAAATTTCCATCCACCAACTCAGACCACTCAAGTACAACAAGAAAAGTGGATAAATATTTTTCATAAAAATTAAACAAATTTGAAATGTGGAAGCATATTTTTAGGCATTTTCTGAAATTAGAATTTTATGAGCTTGTTCAGATTTGGGCCAGGGTTGGTTCAAAGACGGTGATGGATAATTGATCAAATTTGGGTTTAAAAATGAAACTTCTCTGACTAAGTCCCATCCCCTCTCTCTCTCTCTCTCTCTCTCTCTCTCTCTCTCTCTCTCTCTCTCTCTCTCTCTCTCTCTCTCTCTCTCTCTCTCTCTCTCTCTCTCTCTCTCTCTCTAATGTTCAATAAAACCTTGAACTGTTTAAAAAGAAACGCTTGAAACCAGCCCTGTCTTGGTTATGGATGCAAAATATTCTATTTATCTTTTATCGTCCTTTGAGATTTTTAAATGTCATGCTTTAGAATTTAATAAGAATAATCTTGAAGAAAATTCAATGAATTATTGATATACTGTGGAGTATCAAGGCTATTCATGAATACACGAGTTTGCAAAGGAATTTGACAGACTGTCTAAATAGTGACGGGGACGTCCCAAGAACTCTTAAAGAGAAGCTGTTGACAGAGACAGTATTACACTTCGTATTGGTAATTGGCAAGCGGTAGCCTGCGATAGAGCCAGCTTCAGGCGCCATCTAAGGGAGGCAATGGATCAAAATTGATCTGTATGGCAAGAGAAGTAAGCAAGTGAGTAAGTCTAAATAATTACCATAGATTTTAAGACATGAATGACTTTTGCGCAAGCTACAATGATGATTCTGTGACCAGACAACATATAATGTAGACTTGGCACAGTTATTTGCTTACAACTCCTGATTTCTTATAGTTAAAGCCATCCCAAAGTCATGATCCGAAAAAAATACAATTCCTTTAAAATTAAGCTCCTCAACATCCCCTCCAAGAAAAATGAATCAATTAAATTTTATTTCAGTCTCAAAATAGCCATTAAATAATTTATGTAAATATTTCCACAACATGATTAAAATTCAGCCACAATCATTAAATGTTTATGTCTAACCATAAAAGAACTTTGTCCTAAAAGGAAAAAAATTCATGACAATTTTTAATTTCTCTTTAAATTACATGTACATACTTAACCAAGAAGAAGATAATTTGAGAGGAGAAAAAATGTCTTGAAGACAGAGACATAGACGTTGTGGAGAGAGTGGGTGGAAGGTTTTATAGATAATTAAGTTTTGTTTACATTTCACCGAGAACATGTATTTTATGGGTAAGAAAAAGTTTTTCTTTTATTCAGCCTCCAATTTTTATTCTACATGAGTCGAGTTATTCTTTGTTGACTCAGCCATAGCCCGAAAAATTTTAAGTTATATAATACTCGAGTGTGGTTTGATGATTGTGAGCTGGAGGGGCTCTTGTGGTTCAGTGCTTTAGTTCATTGGTGTCTATAATATTGACACAGTGATCATGGGTTCGAATCTCGGTAGTTTACTAGTGACTATTCAAAGGCATACCAAACAACAACTAAGGAAGCCTCTTGCTGTCCATATAATGTATCTGTTGAGTTTATCTAGGCTTTATCCAAACATGTAATCTAAGTCTATCCTGAGATTATCTTAAGGAAACCCTTTGGAGGTTTGTGGCTAAGCCAAAGGTATGGAATTGATCAAAATCTCCAAAAAAAATCAAGTCAGTTCAACTTAACCTTAGGTCAACGTCAGATAACTGATAAGGGCAAGTCATTATCCACTGAGTTGGACATACTCTTGCTGTATCTTATTCTGATCCCCAATTTGTCTCCAGTAAAAAACTCTAATCACTTAAAATCAAGAGCTTAACCTCCTAGTTCTCGTACATGTACATGTATCGTAAGTAAAAGCATCACTAGGAGAAACAAAAAGAAGGAAAAGTATCAGAATGAAAAGAAAAATACCAAAAACAAGTGGATGCCCGTGGCATACTAAACATTATGATTATTATGATAAGAAAATGTGTGAGATGTTATAGGCGGGGTGTGGGATTGTAACGAATCTACAAGGATACACACATGCCGAATATTATGCCACATATAATTTGTTTATGAGGGTGGCTTATTTGTATTTTGAGTTTATTTTATTTTATTTTTGTTTCTTCTTTAACTTTCATTCTGTTCTTATTCGTACGTTTAAGAATGTTTATTAAGTGAAAATTTCATTCTTTGTTACTTCTTCTTTTTTAGGGATGTTCTTCTTATCTCTCTTTGCAAGTTGATTATCTGATAATGTTGCATATGTTCATGAGATGATGTTTGTGTGTTTGTTGTGGGAGATTAGGGGTTATGAACTTCATGGTGCTGGAAGTTTTGGGACATTTGTAATTTTTTGTGGCATTTGGGTTAGTTTTTAATTTTTAAGAAAGCTTTAAAAGACTTCCTCATCCTCATAACCCAAATTGGCTAGTTTCTTGGTTAAAAAATGATTAAAGGCGAGTGGATCGCCGCTGATCGAGCTTAAATCATCATAAATTCCATTACAAAGCATATTTTAAAAATGCTTTATTCATCAAATCTCAATAGACCCTCCATCATCCTCCTACTTGTTTTATTTTTATAAAATCCAAATTAAATTTAAAATAAAAAGTTTAAAAACCTTCAGCGTACTTTCTTTACATACACGTAATCAGATTATTAAGGAACAAAAATAAAGTTAAGTCTTATTGTTTTAAACGACAAACATTTACCGAAGATTACATGACAAAATATTTATCCGAGAGAGATCATTCCCTTTAGCACACGATACAGTCGTGCCTTGCGAGCTATTTGCTGACTCAAAAGAATGAAAAGTGTAATTTAATCATAAATAATTCATTCATGTTTACAAAAGAGAGTGATCTTCATTTCTTATCTCTATTAATAATCTAAATCGTCACCGTCCTACGCTCAAGACTGATAAAAAAGAGTTCAAGTTCATGAACATTTTATGAAGATATATAAAATAGCTGATTTTACGAGCAAACTTTCTCATTCAAGCGTACGCTTTTAAGTTCAGTGGGTGCAATTCTAATTTTTTTTTTTTCGCTGAGGTTTTTTTGGAACAATGGAGATAGCGTAACAATCGTATAAAAGCACTCGGTTGTGAAGTGAAAAATAAAATTTACCGTGTGTGTATTTTGTCGCATGTTGAAAGCGGGAGAGAGAAAAAATCAATTTATTTGCGAGACTGTGAAGACATTGAAGTGATTTTGTCAGACATTTTTGGGGTGTTTTGTGGAATTTTTGACTACATTGAACCCTCCAGAGCTATTTTTGACATTAGTGAAACATAATTGACCTTGAAGAGCCTCGTTCGGCTTTAGAAATCAACATTCATCTTTGGTTAAGAAATGTTTGATCTTAGGGAGTCTTATTTAAACTTAGAGAGCCTTATATGACTCTAGGAGCTACATTGAACCCTCCAGAGCTATTTTTGACTTTAGTGAAACATAATTGACCTTGAAGAGCCTCGTTCGGCTTTAGGAATCAACATTCATCTTTGGTTAAGAAATGTTTGATCTTAGGGAGTCTTATTTAAACTTAGAGAGCCTTATATGACTCTAGGAGCTACATTGAACCCTCCAGAGCTATTTTTGACTTTAGTGAAACATAATTGACCTTGAAGAACCTCGTTCGGCTTTAGGAATCAACATTCATCTTTGGTTAAGAAATGTTTGATCTTAGGGAGTCTTATTTAAACTTAGAGAGCCTTATATGACTCTAGGAGCTACATTGAACCCTCCAGAGCTATTTTTGACTTTAGTGAAACATAATTGACCTTGAAGAGCCTCGTTCGGCTTTAGAAATCAACATTCATCTTTGGTTAAGAAATGTTTGATCTTAGGGAGTCTTATTTAAACTTAGAGAGCCTTATATGACTCTAGGAGCTACATTGAACCCTCCAGAGCTATTTTTGACTTTAGTGAAACATAATTGACCTTGAAGAGCCTCGTTCGGCTTTAGGAATCAACATTCATCTTTGGTTAAGAAATGTTTGATCTTAGGGAGTCTTATTTAAACTTAGAGAGCCTTATATGACTCTAGGAGCTACATTGAACCCTCCAGAGCTATTTTTGACTTTAGTGAAACATAATTGACCTTGAAGAACCTCGTTCGGCTTTAGGAATCAACATTCATCTTTGGTTAAGAAATGTTTGATCTTAGGGAGTCTTATTTAAACTTAGAGAGCCTTATATGACTCTAGGAGCTACATTGAACCCTCCAGAGCTATTTTTGACTTTAGTGAAACATAATTGACCTTGAAGAGCCTCGTTCGGCTTTAGGAATCAACACTCATCTTTGCTTAAGAAATGTTTGATCTTAGCGAGTCTTATTTAAACTTAGAGAGCCTTATATGACTCTAGGAGCTACATTGAACCCTCCAGAGCTATTTTTGACTTTAGTGAAACATAATTGACCTTGAAGAGCCTCGTTCGGCTTTAGGAATCAACATTCATCTTTGGTTAAGAAATGTTTGTTTCTAGGAGCTATATTGAACCCTCCAGAGCTATTTTTGACTTTAGTGAAACATAATTGACCTTGAAGAGACTCGTTCGGCTTTAGGAATCAACATTCATCTTTGGTTAAGAAATGTTTGATCTTAAGGAGTCTTATTTAAACTTAGAGAGCCTTATATGACTCTAAGAGCTACATTGAACTCTGCAGAGCTATTTTTGACTTTAGTGAAACATAATTGACCTTGAAGAGCCTCGTTCGGCTATAGGAATCAACATTCATCTTTGGTTAAGAAATGTTTGATCTTAAGGAGTCTTATTTAAACTTAGAGAGCCTTATATGACTCTAAGAGCTACATTGAACTCTGCAGAGCTATTTTTGACTTTAGTGAAACATAATTGACCTTGAAGAGCCTCGTTCGGCTATAGGAATCAACATTCATCTTTGGTTAAGAAATGTTTGATCTTAAGGAGTCTTATTTAAACTTAGAGAGTCTTATATGACTCTAGGAGCTACATTGAACCCTCCAGAGCTATTTTTAACTTTAGTGAAACATAATTGACCTTGAAGAGACTCGTTCGGCTTTAGGAATCAACATTCATCTTTGGTTAAGAAATGTTTGATCTTAGGGAGTCTTATTTAAACTTAGAGAGTCTTATATGACTCTAGGAGCTATATTGAACCCTCCAGAGCTATTTTTGACTTTAGTGAAACATAATTGACCTTGAAGAGCCTCGTTCGGCTTTAGAAATCAACATTCATCTTTGGTTAAGAAATGTTTGATCTTAGGGAGTCTTATTTAAACTTAGAGAGCCTTATATGACTCTAGGAGCTACATTGAACCCTCCAGAGTTATTTTTGACTTTAGTGAAACATAATTGACCTTGAAGAGACTCGTTCGGCTTTAGGAATCAACATTCATCTTTGGTTAAGAAATGTTTGATCTTAAGGAGTCTTATTTAAACTTAGAGAGCCTTATATGACTCTAAGAGCTACATTGAACTCTGCAGAGCTATTTTTGACTTTAGTGAAACATAATTGACCTTGAAGAGCCTCGTTCGGCTATAGGAATCAACATTCATCTTTGGTTAAGAAATGTTTGATCTTAAGGAGTCTTATTTAAACTTAGAGAGTCTTATATGACTCTAGGAGCTATATTGAACCCTCCAGAGCTATTTTTAACTTTAGTGAAACATAATTGACCTTGAAGAGACTGGTTCGGCTTTAGGAATCAACATTCATCTTTCGTTAAGAAATGTTTGATCTTAGGGAGTCTTATTTAAACTTAGAGAGCCTTATATGACTCTAGGAGCTACATTGAACCCTCCAGAGCTATTTTTGACTTTAGTGAAACATAATTGACCTTGAAGAGCCTCGTTCGGCTTTAGGAATCAACATTCATCTTTGGTTAAGAAATGTTTGATCTTAGGGAGTCTTATTTAAACTTAGAGAGCCTCCTTCGATCTTAAAGATCTTTATTAATTACTTGTTAGCCTTAATTTGACCTTGGCGAGCCTCTTTTTATCCTTAAAAGCCTCAATCAACTAAAGAACCACTAATCTGATAGTATTAAGCCTCATCCGATCACACAAAACAACTTCTAAATAGATACCAAACAAGAACTTTTCCTATAACCTTGAATATTTCCACTTCAAATGCCTCAAAAAACCCAAAACATCATCAAAATCTGACAAAACTCACTCCAATTAATTTCATAATCTCAACCTACTCCTTAGTGTATAAACTAAGATAAATCCAATTAAATAAATAAGACTCAATTAATTAAAAACAATAAGAAATAAGAAGAACGACACAGAAAGTAATTAAAAATCATAGAAATGGAAAATTCAAAAGAAAAATTAAGCTTCTCAAGTGTTGATTACATTCTTTTTGCAACAATGATGCTTTTATCATTTCTCATTGGACTTTACTATGGATTCTTTGCGAAAAGAAAGCAAAACACAACAGCTGAATATCTCCTCGGCAGCAAGAAGTTGAAGGTGTGGCCAACAGCAATCAGCTTAACTGCAACGTAGGGCAACAATATAAAAATAATAAAAAAATGAAATTTAATTAAATGTTAAATGATTTATGTTATAATAATGTGAAGCTTCTGTGTAGGATGGTGCGGTGAAAATTACACGAAATATTTATTGAAGTATGCACATTAAATAAGCAGCTTCTGTGTCTAGATGTGAGAATGAACGCTTATTATTTAAGGCATCTCATATATTATATCTAACTCTTATGGGAGATATGAAAATGAGATAAATTCTTCATTTTAATTTGTGCTGAATTCTAAACATAATTTGGCATTGAGGTTTAGTTGGAATTTTGGATGTTGAAGCAAATAATATGTTGCAGGATATGATTTTATGGTTGTTAAAATTTCGCAGAATTTTGAGTTGGAATTAATCAATTGGAATTAAATTGAACTAGAGTCAAATTATGCTTAACAACATAGGTTGTTAATTTTAATGAAAATGTCAACTTTTGTGTAATTAAACTCTTAAAATACGAAGAAGAATGAGTTGACTGCCATCGTTTATAAGATTATATGAAAAATTCAAAGGCTTACCCGTTGATCCTTTAATAAGCTACTCTTCAACGGCTCGATAGTTTCTAGGACACCCATTAATCATCAGCTGCTCGACATTGCATTAGGCTCATCTAAATTAAGTTCGAGAGAAGTCTTGAAACAAGATAAGTTGTCGATATAGCCTCTGAAACTACATTATCTCTACCTACAGCATTACAACATTAGAATACCTCTAAAATTCCATAAAAGTCATCCACACAAACACACATAATTCCAAATGAACAAACAATTCCAAACACAATAGCCATAATGAATCTAATATTTTCACGCAACATTACCAGAATATTATACCACAAACTAATTGACAACCCTAATTTCTCGACACATAATCCTCGAACATTTATTTTTTTATAATTCCATAAAAAAGTTTATGGCGTTAAAACTGAATATTTATTGCTAAAAAATCTTCCATTCTTCATTACAGCCATATCTCCGCAACTACTCTATTAGGGTGAGTCCAAGCAACAAAAGCTTAAATTAAACTTAATGATCCGAGGATAGAATTTATTGCAATTATATTTTTTTTGCTCCTTTTATGTTTGTTATAAAAAAATCCACAAACATGTATGTGTTCATATTTGTAATGACGATGGGTTCAGTGTTCCAGCCGAGATGTATAAATACGGTACACAATATTGGGCTTGTGCTATCTCGGGTCTTGTAGTAAGTGAGCTTTAAATTTAAAATGTAGAATTAAGGAGATTTTTCTCTCACTTTTACTCTAATTGCTTTTTATCTTTATCTATGATTGTCTCATTTTTCTCGTTCCTTGCTATTCGCACACAACAGGTTACAGTCTCCGTGTGTTATGTGTATCTACCAGTTTTTCATGATATCGGTGCTGCATCGTAAGTATGATTTTTAAAATGTTATTTTTGTCTCTCAAGTGCAACTTTTTAATGACACGAGTTTAAATATGTATTTGTTTTGTCGGTTGAATGACTTCGAGATTCTGTCTGCAAAGAATCTTTTATTTTCTTATAAATTTCATTGTCAAAAGCAAGTTTTAAGTTATCTGTGTTTGATTTGCGTCAAAAGATATGAAAAAAAAGTTCATTGGAATTGTTTTGATTCATTTTAAATCTTTTTTTTGTGAAAAGCTAAGGGGTATTTGAGAAGCTTTTGGAAAATCAAAAGCTTTTGATTCGAAGATTTAGAAATTTCGAAAATCTAATGGTAAAAAGCTTAAAATTTTCAAAATAGCTAGGTCAACATTTTCACATCAAAAATTCGAATTTTGTGACCTAAACACTTTCGGAATTCGAAATTTGAAAATTTTAAAATTTCGAAACTTTAAAGCTTTAGAATTTCGAAGATAAAAGCTTTCGAACTTCGAAAATTAAAAGCTATTGGAATAAATTTTATCAAACGCTTTCAAATCAGATCCATAAGCGCCATCAATTCTCTTCTCAAATCAAGCTTAATCATCCACAAAAGCTCTTAATACCACATCAAAATCCTCATGTGTAGCATTAACTTTCCCAACACAAACCCTACTCATTTTCTTTTATCAATTTTCAGATTTTCAATTTTCATAAATTCTCTTCCATTTCCATTCACAGGTGCTATGAATATCTAGAGCGTCGCTATAATCATCAAGTGCGTCAAATTGCAAGTTGTCTCTATTTCATTTATGTCGTTATTCTGAGTCCATTGCTATGCTACACACCGGCATTGGCTTTCTCGCAAGTGTCTGGAATAAATTTGCACTATATAACACCGATTTTAGTATTTGTTTGTGTCTTTTATACAACCTTTGGTGGCATACGGTGAGTAGTATTGTTTCTGTAGCAATTTAATTTACAATCCGCATTCAGCTTTCATTTTTCCATTGAAATTTATCTGTTTTTATTCCCATTTCAATGTGCTGCAACGTAAATAGTGCTGTTGTATGGACAGATACACTGCAATTTTCAGCTATGATTCTCGCCGTATGTGTCGTTATGGTATTGGGAACAAAGGAAGTTGGTGGGATTAAAAATGTATTTACAATAGCAAACGATGGTGGTCGTTTAATTTGGTTCAATATCGATCCAAATCCCTTCTTAAGAAGTACATTCTGGATGGTTTCAATTGGATTGACGTCAATGTGGATTTCAAATGTTGGCATAACACCGGAATGTGTTCAACGATTTGTTGCCATACCCGACATCAAAGATTCACAAAAGGTTGTTTGGATTTTCGGAATTGGACATATATTCATCAAACTCTTCTCCGTCTACAATGGACTATTGATCTTTGCCAAATATTCACTCGCAAAATGTGATCCGATTTTCGATGGCGTTGTAAAGAAATATGACCAAATATTTCCATACTATGTTATGGATGTTGGAAGAAAAATCCCCGGTTTGCCTGGTCTATTTATCGTCGGTGCATTGAGTGCCGCATTAAGTTCAATGTCATCATGTCTCAATTCTCTTTCGGGTACCACATATGAGGATTTTATTCGACCATATTTTCCAAATGCCACAGAGAAGCAAGCCAGCACATCGATGAAAATTATAACATTCTTAATCGGATGTATCTGCTTCATACTCGTTTTTGTTGTGGAGCATTTAGGTGGTGTCTTTAGTATTGGAATTGCATTTTCTGGTATCACATCGGGAACACTCTTGGGATTATTTACAATGGGAATGGTCTCAAGACGATTCAATACAACAGGTGCATTGTGGGGATCAGTAATATCATTAGTTGTGGTTAGTTTTATAATGATTGGGGCACAAATCAATATCTATAAAGGAAATCTACAATACGAGTCATTGCCATTCAATGTCGAACAATGCACACAAATGCTACAGCAATCAAATGTGACTAAGTGAGTGCATTATTCGGTTTTTGTATTGATCTGAGCGAGGGTTGAGCACTTGTGGAGATATTGATGATTGAATTTTAAAGATTTAATTTATGAAAAATTTAAATTTGAGGAAAAGTTGAAATATTTACCTGAATTTGGCTCCATTTGTCTCATTTATTTTGTTCTTCTAGTTCCTGGAGATGATTTTGTACATACCTTAGCCATTGACTCATTTTTAATCCACAATATTCAATAAATCTTAATAAACACACACTTGGAAAAATTCCTTCAAATTGATATCGAAAATGGGGCAGGTTACTGCGATTAAACTATTCACATGATGAAATTTGAATCTCAAAAGTTCGTTAATTCAAATTTCAACGTTTTTCATGAATTTTAAGCATAAAATCAAAGAAATATCTCAAACACATATCTCAACAACCTCAAAGTGCTCATCCCTCACACAATTCAATTTCAAATAACTTCATCTTCATTCCACATCTTGACTTTTTCAGTAGTATGATGAACTCAACAATTGCAACAAAGACTCATTATTGTGAGAACGAGAACTTCAACAATGAATCAGTTCATTGGATATTTCGTATTAACTACATGTACTATAGTTTAATTGGCACAATTCTCGTTGCTGTTTGCGGATATCCGATATCAATACTAACTGGTGGTGTGAAAGATCTTGATGAGAATCTACTTGCACCAATGTTCCGACAGAAAAAAAAGCCAGATGAGAAAGTTCCAATTGAAATGAAATTTATTGAGTATGGTGATGAAATTGAGAAGCTGAAGGACAAAAAATATTATGATTGAATGTATTGTTGATATAATTAGTGTTATTATGATATGTTTAAGTATGATCATGATTGTGAAATTTTATACTCATTAAATGGGCAATTGATTTTGTGATTTATGACATGAATAAAGTGATGATTGTATAAATATTCATTTTTGTAGACTTTTTTGAGATTTATGAAGTTTAAAAAGAAATTTTCATTTGTTCAGCAGTTTTGGATATGAAAATCTGACTTTGGAGTGTGTTAAAGTATTTAAGGTTGTATTCTAAGCTGTTAAAAATGCCAAAGTAAAGCTTCTTTAGAAATAACGTAAAATATATTGTTCAAATTGAATCAACGACATAACCCCGAGTGGACAAAGTACTAGTTAAAAGCTTGCCATTGACTTGTTTATTCATGGCGAGTAAGGATCCATTGACGTGCCTTTGCAACTAGACTTAGGGACGACTAATGACATATTTTGCGCTTTCCATTTAACTGGACATAGGAATTGCAAATATGTCTAGTTAATGTCAAGTTAAAAAAAATCGAAATAAAATAAATAACACGTGTCTTTTTCTCCATTTTTTTTCTTGTGTAAAATATTATTATTGTATTAGTGTAATTAATTAATTAAAGTACACTAACGCTTATGAAAAATCTCTATTAAGCATTGAGTCTCAAACACTTGCGCGTGAAACATTTATATTTGCTTAAAATTTTCATACAAATTTTGGTAGACCTTATATAAGTGATTTCTGCAAGCGCTTGTGAAGTATATGGCCAAAAAAGTAAGGAAAATTATTTTTGAGTTTCGAGCACTTGATTGATTAGCATGAATGTCCAGTTAAAGTCTAGTTAACGTCGAGTTCTCTATGTCGTTTAAATTTTGGCAAGTTAAAAGACTGTTAAATGATTGTCCAATAATGGACTTTAACTGGCTGTGTCCACCCGGGAACATTTTGTCAAAAGTCAAAGCAGCAATTAATAGCCTTTTCGTAGCAACGTACGAACAAAAATCATTAAAGCATGGGTTCGAATCCAAATCAAGAAAAATTGATAGAACTCTATTCTGGACCATATTTTTTGCAAAATTTCTATATTAAGGTTTTTGAATTTTAGTATAATATTCTAAAACAGATTCAGGTTAATTCTTAAAATAGATTTTAAAAATGCTCCTAAACTCAATAAGAACAACAATTTCCCAAATTTCTTCCAAACAAGCTTTAAACTTGATACCTCACAACATTTAAATAATTCTGTTAACATGCAAATTACAAGAATTTTCCTTAACTTTACTGTTAATGATGTTAAAAATTGTTCCTGCTAATCCGAGCAGCAATCCCTGAGCTCATATGTTATATCTGAATGTATAAATTCATTTTCATGCGTTAATTGAGAAATTAAAACTTTATCTTCATTGTTTTTCTTCATCTTACACCCTTTCTGTGTGCCTGAATGTCAACATCATATCGTCGTCGTAGTCATAATAGTAATATATTATTTTTGGAGAATTGCCAAGAAAAGAGTTGATGCTGAATGTGCATAAAGTGCCTAGCTATAAATTAAGTGGAATGGTGTGTATTGAGGAGGTTTAGGATGAGGGATGGGTTGCCCTCAACACAGAATTTGGAATTTATAGAGTTTTACCCTAATTACACCTCTTGCTACTTCCATTCTACACAAATCCCATAAAGACCAACACCCCAAGACTCAAGCAGCCACTAAACGCTGAATAAAATTATAATTTGTGAATGAATAAGTTTTTTTTTATAAAATTATTTACGATCACTATGGGAGATTTAAAGCATAATTGCCAATTTGCCAGCATCTCACAAAATTTTTACGCCGATTGCCACATGTTGATAATTGCATTAATTATTCTCTCTAGCTTCCGTATTTTTATACGATACATTTTTGTATTGCGACAATGCAATTGTTGGCAGTACATGCGTTTTTCGGATGTAAACAAAATGAATTTATTTTAGTTTTATGCCGGCGCATCTGTACGTATATTTCATTGTGTACGGATGTGCTGCAGCAACACTGTAGCAATTTTGTAGAGGAACAACATTTTCATTCTATTATTAGAAATTGAAAGAGTAGATTTTTTTTCGAGTCTCTTTTTTACTCGCTTTGGCGCTTAAATTAGTCGAGAAAATGAAATTTATTTTGAGAAAATGTTTCGAGTATAGTAGATTTTGAAAGTTGATTTTACTAGCGGGATTTGCAGGCAACTAGAAAAATTAAAACTATTTCTGGAGTTGGGTTTTAAGGCACTTTACCTTAGGTATTGCAAAATGTGTCTATTACTAGGGTTGGGTGCATCAGATAGCCTCAGGAATGACGATCATATCAGACGACTCAAAGATAAGCAAAACTTACAGCCTCACATGACTAATGTCTATAAATACCTAAGTATAATCTAGAAAGTCATAAAATAAATATTAAATAATGATGCTAAAGTCATGAAGTCGTTTGTGGCAGCAAATATTTGAGTAGACACAGAATAAATAAAGAATTATGAACAAAAGATTAACAGGTGTACAAACATGTGTGATTATAAGGTTGAATTATGACATAATGCACGGGCATAGCCTTAAAATTCAATTAGGAGTACAATGAACTCGATTAGCGAGGAGTTTGTAGGTTGTTGATGAATGGCATCCAAGACATTATTTGCATGAAGACTCCTCTACTTTACAGACAAGATTAATATTGATTGTTGTATCCTATCACATACAGATCTCATCACAATCCCAGGTTATGATGAGTTACGAACTCCTCCTCTTCCGCTTGCAAGCTTAAAATAGCTAAATACCTAAAATAGCTTCATGAGCTCCACAACCTATCGAAGACAACTCATTCCCATACGATTCAATAAACTCCAGACTAAAATTTATTTCAAAAATCATTCATTATTTATGTATGACTTACTGAATACCTCCAAAAACTAATTCCAACTCAAACACATAACTTCAGGTCAGCAATTAAAGTCCAAATACCAAAAAGCTAACAAAAAAATTTAATTTAAATTTTAAAAAAGTCTATAAATTTTCAACCATGCAATTACATCAAATCTGCAAGCACAAACAAACAGCAGTAGTGAAAATTCATCCGTAAAACCGCAGACAAATGAGCAAATATGAGCAAAAAGCATCCACAGCTACAAAAGAGGAAATGATAAGCCACAAAAATTATTATGTTAACATTCATCATGAATAAATGATGTAAATATCCACATTAATTTTTATCATGCCAGTTTCCATCTCGTATGAACAGCGTTCATGTGCGATTAGTTTCTTTAGTCTCTCACATATTATGTGAGATTTCTTCTTACTAAATCCCATACCTTACTTTTTTTCAGTCTCTTAGTCAGTTGGAACGTGTCAGATCACATCAAAAGTCATTAATTTAATTTTTTTGTGGTTCCAGTTGAAGTTTTTATCAATGACAAATTGTAAAGTTTGCAACGGCGATGCCAAACAGAAATGTTCAGGATGCTTCAACGTCTTTTATTGCTCGAGAAATTGTCAGGTTGCTGATTGGAAAAATGGACATAAAAACGATTGCAAACCTTTTGAAGTAAGTTTGTGAGCGAATTGTGGAAGTTAATGCTGTGATTTTAAAGTGGAAGTGAAATAAAATTGGAAAAATATTAAGTTTTGTGAGTTTTTTCAATCAATAAGGCGAACATTTTAATGTTATGCTCACGGAAAAAACAAGTAAAAAATGTCGCCAGTTTTGAATGACTAAAGCGCATTTTTCTTGTACAAATTTGGGTTATAAAGTAAAATAACGTTCAATATTTGAAATTTTAAGATCAAAACAATTTAAATTTCACTTCAATTACATCTTAACATCCAGACATCCAGTAACAAGCTAAAGCCTCACCCCTCCCCCCCCCCCCTTCATCCCCCTTCAAGTTTTGGATAGATGGGTAAACACACCAGACATGCAAGAAAAAAAAAATTCTCAAATTTTCAAGAACCCAAAACAGTGTAAAACCTAACAAAGCAGCCGCAAAGTCTACAAATCCACTTAACCTCAAACTTTTTCATTTTTATTTCCTCACAACAAAGACAATAACAGCATCAAAACTTTTTTTATGATTTCAATGTTTTTTCAAGGTGAAAAGGAACAAGAAATTGGGTCGATATACGATTGCATCACGAGATCTTAAGGCAGGTGAAATTTTATTTCGAGAAGTTGCTGTCGTTCATGGACCGAAAATGCTATCAAATCCAATATGTCTCGGATGTCACAAAGCACTCGTAAAAAAATCACAAAAGGCTGATTTTTATCGATGCTCGCGATGCTCATGGCCATTATGTTCAAAACAATGTGAACGGCTTGATCCACATATCGATGAATGTAATTTAATGGCATCGAAAAATTATAAATGTCCCATCAAAGTGAATTGTGCTAGTCAGCAGTCTGATGCCATTTATTGTCTCATATTTCCACTAAGATTTCTCATTTTGAAGCTCAAACAGCCAAAAGTGTAAGAACAGCTTTACTTCACTGACTGTGTACATTTTTTCATGATTTTTAATTTTAGATTTGAGAAAATTTTATCAGAACTCGAGAGTCATGTAGATGAGAGAATTGCTTCAGGAAGTTATGACCATCACAAGCATCATCTAGTTCCATTTATACAAAAGCTTTTAGATCCAACTATATTTACTGAACATCTAATATTAACAGCAACTGCCATACTCGATAACAATTGCTTTGAAATTTCAATGCCTTTACGTGGCATCGAAATGGGAGGACTCTTCCTAATTAGTCTCATTTTGTGTCATGACTGTGTACCGAATACAAAGCACTACGTAAATTACATCGAATCTGATAGTGACATTCAACGATACCAAATGACTTTCGAAACTACCGGTAAGGAATGCAATTTACATTTTTCTCATGCAATTTTCACACTAAAATAAGGTTTGAACAGTGCTGTGTACATGCCAAGGGGTGATAATTCTTAAAACTGCTTTGATGTTAGTCATGCAACTTCATGACAAAGAGAAGAATGTGGGATGTAGCCTTAGCCAAAATATATTTACAGCATAATCATTTTCCATTTTCGAATAAAATTCGAATTCGAAAATCATTATTTACTTTCTCACATCGAGATTTTCTTTAGTAATTTCTTCTTAATTGCATGCTTATTAACTATTTAACTAATTGCAATGTGTTTAAGAAAAGTGAGCAAGAAATTTGTCATGATATTCATCAAATAGAGCATCCTTGATAGTCCAAAACTAGAATATTTTTTAAAATTTGGTTGTTTTTTTAACCAAAAGCGCGGGAAAAATTCTCATTTTTTTTCAATCACAATCTACTATATCTGAATAAAATCAAGGAACTTCAAAAAAACCCAAGATAAACATCAAATAGCCACAGTAACAATTCACAGATCCATTTTTCCTATAAAAACTTCCTTAACTTCCTTAAACCATTTCACCCCTTGGCACATACAGAAATTGCAAACAACAATGTCATTGTTATAAGTACAACTTTTTTGTATACGACAAGCAGCAACAACAGAAAAGTTGAAGAGAAGAAAACTACAGCAATTGAATTAAATTTAATTTAATTTTGTAGTTCCAGTCAAAAAGGGTGAACAGCTTACAACAACATATACAGATACACTCAAAACGACACTTGAACGTAGAAAGCACTTGAAGCAGACAAAAATTTTCGATTGTGATTGTAAACGTTGCATGGATGCATCTGAACTATCGACTTATGGTAGTTCGTGGCGATGTCAGAGATGTTCTGATGGACTTATTTTGTCGACAAATTCTTTTAATAACAATTCGGAATGGCATTGTGAGAGCTGTGATGCTGTTTATAGCTGTGAGGTATGATTGTGTGTTGATTGAAGTGAACAAAATTTGAAGTTATTTATCGAAGATGTGGGAGGGAAATTGATTATAACTTTGTGTATGTTTAATAAGATATATTGAATTATGGATATGTAGGATGATGATGATGATGTTGCTTAAGCTTAGGCGAATATTGATCTTATCCGAGAAACATATAGAATTTAAAAGGCAGATAGCTTTTATTCAGAGGTACGAAGCTTTAACTTTGGGTTGCGAAGTTTCAATTTAGGGGTAAAAAGCTTCAATTAAGGGGGCAAAGCATCAATACTGGGAGACGAGGCATAAATTTAGGGGAAAGCAGCTTCAATTCGATGGTAAAAAGCTTTAATTTGGTAGTACGAACTTCAAGTCAGGGTACAGAGCTAAAACTCAGGGGGACGAAGCTTTAATTTAAGAGTACGAAGCTTGATTTCTAGCCTCTAAACGAGTTTGTCGTTCGGGATTCAAGATTACCAAGAATATTAGCCGTAATTAAATCATAACTTTTAAACTCTGTAATTAAATTTAGCAAGCCTTTAAGCAAAACCTGCTATTCTATAGAATAATATGACAATTTTTCTTTGAAATGAAGACTTTCATTTACCGTACGAGAAATTCCATCAACATGAATGAAATTCATTTAAGCATAGGTTTTTGAAAGGATTTTAAAGCTCTTCATTCATAAGCTTTTTGCAATTCAAACTTTTTGAATGGAATGTTGCCGTAACTGAGATTGAATCTTACATGTAATCAACTTTTCTTGCTCTTATCGTTAATAGGAAATTTCAGGTAAATTAAGTCGTCTACAAATCCAATTAAGAACTTCAGTCAATCGACATCCAGAATCGTTGGAGAAGTTTATCGTGCAGACTTCAGGTGAAATCCATGGCAACCACTTATTAATTATCGAAGTAAAATACATGCTGTGCTTGATGTATGGTAATATAGGAGGATATCATTACAAAGGTAAAAGAGATTTATGTTAGGTTGTAGATAATTATTGGTATAAATAACTACTTGGGAGGTTGAAATGCCATATGTTAATGTCAGATTATGTGAATGAACTTTGCTGTGGTTTCAAAAGAATTCAAGCCAATCTTACTGTTCGTTGCCTCCTATTGATTCAAAAAGTCGGAATGTTAGCAAGCTGTCAACTATATAACTGTTCGACTGTCCAAATATTCGACTTTTCGGTTGTCCGACTTTCGAATTTTTGAATTATAAGTTGTCCGACTATCCATTATCAGCTCTTTTTTATGACAATCTGTCAATTCAAATGCCACGAATTTCAATTATTTGACTAAGTGCTAGAGGCCGTTCACTTATGACGACCAGGGGAGGGGGACAGGTCAGAAAGAAAAAAAACTATAGAAATTCCTGGAAATCAATTGTTCTTTTTTGAAAAATGACCATTAATTTTGGACGTCATAAGTGAACTATCCCCTAGCTTTTGAACGTTTTAATTACTGGCTTCATCACTACCTACTCTTATAAAAGTTTTAGCATATGCCTGCATTTTAACGTATTGAATATTCACAGAACTTCCTGAAAATCTCCTTCAACGTAAACTCGACCTATGCAAAAATGTCCTCGACATCTACAATTCCGTTGATCCCGGTCAGACAAATTCCCGTATGAATATAATATTTGAACTAAATTGTGCAAATATAATTGACATGAAAAATAAATTAAGCAAGAATCTCATCAATAAAAATAATGCCATGGTATGTAATATGATTTATGGTAAAATAATGGCGATATAAATTGTTGTTTATGACTTTCTCTTTTCAGCATGCAATCGATCAATGCCTTAAGCAGATTAAGGATTGTTATGATGTCTTAGTGCTGGAAACAGAAAATAAAGGAATTATGGACAAGCGGTTAGAAAGGATTATGAATGAAAGTTTTATGTAATATCCATGAATGGAAATAAATCATACAAAACAAGGAGGAAGTGGAAGAAGGAAAAATTAACAGCACTTTTGTTGTCTCTGTTGATATATCCTAGCTTGTTTTTGTTACATAAATGAGGATTTTGGATCCATTTTGGCTGATTGAGTGCCATTAAGGATAGAATAAGAAATTTAGCAGAATTTGTTATGAGAAATAAAATGTATTAGGAAAGCTTAGCTTCTTGTATGTTTTAGATTTGTTTTGTGTTATCTTGCAGATTAAATGACAAAAGGATGTGACTTGAGAAGTACTTTGGAGTTACAGGACTTTTTGTAATATGGCAGGGGAATAAAGGAATGCGAACAGTTCAGCATTTGGACGCTGTGATATCAGTAAAGCTCAGCCTAATACCCATCCTCCTCGCTTCACGGTTTATATACTTGATTTGACAAAAGATGCTACGCAACAGGCCATTTATGAACAACCCATCAGATATTCAGCTAACAACCTTCAACTTCCATTAAATCTTTATCAAATCCCTCAAAAAAGAATTTTTTAAAGCCAGCACACCCAAACAATAAATTTCCAAGCTTACCCTCACTTTAATTTATTTTTCATCACTTCCACGGGTCGTAAAGATGAGAAAGTTTTGTGGATGCCTTAGATGTTGTAACCAAAAGGCTTAAACAGGAATTAACACCCAGAATACTTTCTCTTTTCTCTACATTTGTGTATTTCTTATTTTTTCCAAATACCATTTATCCAAAAAATATATCTATGAACAAACAGAAATCCATTATAGAGATTTCCCGAGTGAAGGCCCAGAAAAGAGAAAAAGTTTCTTTCTTTGTCGTATCTAATGCCGGTGTGGTTTTGTAGTTTTGTGTGTTTGCATTATCCACAAAGATGGGATTTAATGTCTCTTTCTTCTTAAAAAACTTTCACAAACACTTTAGTTACTTTAGATGCCAACATATCACCAGCGGATGGAAGCATGAAGAAGTTTTTCGCACCTTTGTCATCTTATGTTATTGGACTGGCTTCTATTTCTCTTTCAAACAATCATCTCCAAAGATTATATGTTTTTTCTTCTCCATCTCACAATTGTGGCCTGAATTCAAACTTTCTAAGTCGTCTCTACGGAAATAAAATGGAATGAAAGAAAGGACATTTTTCGACAGCATGAAAGGAAACGAAAAGTTTTTATAATAAGGACAAATATTTCTACTTCTCAGCCAGAGGAGAGAGATTAATCATAATATGAAAAGATTTTTTTTCTTCTCTTTTCATTATAGACTTTAAAGTCTGTGTTTGCCTGAGTTGATACTCTTTTCTTTAAGGTACTGTTGAGTGTCAATCGGTTGATAATTTCAGGTTTGTTTTATATTTCTGTGTTAGTCTTATGAATGAGCTGTCTCTCGGTAAGACCTTACTTGTGTATGGTCCTGGGTTCGATCCCAAACTCAATGCATTTACTTGGTAAAGGATTGAACTGCATCTCAACATTTAATTATGAGAATCGAACCCACGTCCTTACTAAAGAGAGTTATAGATGTTCTGTCTGTTGTCTAACCACTTGACCACTTAGACCTTACTCTCACACCAGGCCCAATCCCATAACATATGACTCAACACTATAGATCATACTCTGCTCCAAAGCCACATACCCAAATCTTCAAAAAAATCCATCAAATAATCACAAAAAACATTTCCATTCTGTCCATGAACCATCATTCCAAATTTTCAATAATAATCTTTCATACTTTTCCAAGAATAGAATATGCCAAATACATACATAAAGCTCTTTGATCACAATAAACAGCCTTGAGATACATATTCAGCAATTCAAATCACATAAATATCATTCTTCTGTCAAAAATTGACAGCAATTTCATTCGGTATCAATGCCATTGCTCTGTTGATATTTGAATAATAAAGAACACAAACCTAACGTCATCATCAATCACGTCAAGAATTGCGATTTAAAATGTTTATGTATGTCCGAATTTTTAAATAATTCACGTGGGTTTTAAGGTTAAGTGTGGATATGAGTAGATTGATTAAATATCGAAAAGCCCACAATATCTTGACATTTAAAGGTAAAACTAGCTGTTCTCTAATTTTATGATTGCTTTATGATTAGGGCTTGTTTTGATATTAAGTGTAGGTGGGGATCATAGGAGACAGTGGGTATAATAAGGGGTCTGAACAGTTCTTAAAGTTGACTAGAATGAAATATCTTCAAAATATTTATAATGTCGACTGTCTATAGATGACTAAGTTGCCCAAAACTAATGTCCCGTAATATCCGAACTCTCCCCATTATTTTATTTCCAATCTACTAAAATTCTCCATCCACACTCGAATGAATTTCGAAAGCATTAACAATTTTCTAATGTTTTTCTCAATTTACCTTTCTAATTTTAAAATGTATGATTTTCGGCATCGATCAATATTTGCCAGATAGGAGAAATGAAATTTCTTTTTATTCCTCCTTCTTCTCATCTACCGAAAACGTCTTTAAATGAAAAGCGAAGCGTAAAAATTGATGGAATGGGAAAAATTTGTGAAAACTTTTAGAAAATCACGAAATAAAGTTTTAATAATGTTTCTTCTACCTTTTAGCAGAGTTTAAGAGTAGAATAATAGCATTGAGGGTAGATTGGCTGGATGAGTGACGACAACTTTAAGATGGTAGACACAGATCGATGTTTAACGAGCTGTATTGATGGTAAATCACTAGTTCCTGTAAATTACAAATATATTGATAGAGTTAAAGTCTTAGCTAGTAAACAAGATTGTAGCAAGTAATCAAAAAGGTAGCTTTTAGGCATGGTGGTAGCTAGGTTGTTACCAAAAATTACTAGAACTGTTTAAAGCATTGCTGCTCTAGTGTTCTGAGTAGCTAGAGCATGACAAACTCACATTCTTAATTGTAAAGCGCTTCCATCACTTTAAGCTCATAGCTTTACCACAAAATATATCAGATACACCAAAAATATCCAACCCTACATTAATGACGTGAAAATGATTTTTGTTTTTTTGCAAAAAGTTTTGAAATTGAAATTTTTTTTTCTTAATTTCTTGCTTATTTTAAGCAAAAGAAAAATGGGAAAATTAGAAAGTTTAAGCGAATTACTTTTCAAAGTGAAAATGAGGTGCTGATAAAAACTTGTCATTAATGAACAAAGCCTGAATAAGAAAAAAAAGGCGGGAAAGTATGTAAATTGAAAAGTTTTTTTTTCCTGCCTTTCGCATTCACGACCGTCTTCATCAGAGATTCTTGCTGCCTTCCATATTTTTTTCCATTTCTCTTTTACCTTTTGGCGTGAGGTACATGATGATATTTCATAAACTTTTATTGTGTTGTTTTCATTTCAACGCGAATAAATGAAACGTAAATGTATAAAGACTAGATTGAAATGTTTTGAATGCTTGAGAAGCTGTGACGCTGTTTTTTGTGAAAGTTTTGATGTTGATGAAGTCGTAAAAGATTTGCACGTGTTTAATTTGAAGTTTTGCTTGCTGCTGATGATCTGTAAAGAGGTTAAACTGATGTTAGAGGAGAAGTAAGGCGTTTTGGCGCTAAATATCGATTATGAACATAAAGGCAAAACCAAAGTGACTAGAAAGTAACTTACTAGTGACTAGCCACAAGAAACTAATCATCAATCTGCTCTTGCACTCAGCTATGCCATCACAACCTCTAACAACTCCAAATGCCTATTCAAAACACATTTCTCTACTTCAAGCTTTATGAATGACACAATAACACTACAAAGCAGACTGTCAAAATAAACTATAACAGCTTCATCTAGCACGCCATAACAAAAGTTTACGAACTGAATAAATGAAAATGTGATTTGACTGTTTAATTTTCTCATTTTCCTTTTTCATTTACTAATTTTTGTTTGCTGTCTTTTCACCTCGTCGATGATGATGTGCTGAAAGTTTGATGATGATGTGCTGTCTTGCTTCAGTTAATGCGGCTAGATTTGAACTATCCATTTTTATTTTCATTTAAAGGCTGACTATCAAAACACACTAGCTTTACTGTCGATTTCTGGAATAAGTTGAGACTAATCAAGCTGTAAAGGATTTGGAGATCAAAAGGCTGATTGATAAGTTGAGTATAATATTTAAACGTATTTTTGACTGCCGTATGTACTAAGTCGACCAGGATAAGTTCCGTTAAGGTCAAGTTTATTCCAAAATCCACATCAGAACTTTATCGCACTCCAAACATCAATCAATTCCTCCACATTGTCATACAAAGCAAATAAAACCTTTTTTTTCACCAATTTTTCATTCACATCAACACTTGAAAAAAGCTCATAAAAATTCAAGCATCTATAAAACTCGACGAATAAATGCACATATGCAAATTAATAAAAACAAATGAATAAATTTTAATCGCTGACTTTTGTGTGATGCGAAAATAAAATCCACTTTTCATGCAAATGCATTTTCAATTTCAATATTTTAACAGGATATGAAGGTGGATGAGTGCTTGTGATTGTATTTTGAGTTAGTGGCAATTATGGAATTATTTTTGGATGTTATTTCCATTGCATAGTAAATGTTTGAAGGTTTGTTTAGAATAGGAATCGAACTTATGTTTTAGAAATGATGGAGGTTCAAGATTGCTGGTTTGTGAACTAAACACGCGATCATAGCCTGGGACAAGCATTGGCAGATTGATCAACATAACTAGATTCCATACTATAGGTCAAGTTGCATATACTGGCATCGACCTGCAATCTTAAATTCAACATCCTCGTGTGAATTCAATAAATTCCAACAAAAACTTCCAAAATTATGATTGATAATTAAAAAAACTCCTTCACAGAAAGTGTCAAACATGCTCATTTAATTTTTACATCAAAAAAACACTTATGCAATCAAAAAACTTCGTCACTGCATATTACACATATGAGCACAACTCAAACTTTATTCATTCATGTTGTTTAACTCGAAAAAAATTTATATTTCAATATTTGATGAGGAAAAATTTTTATTTTTCACCAAATGGCTTTTCCATCGTAATTTTCATACGAGAGAGTTGATGTTTTATGATATTTTAATAAAAGCAGACAAATTTATGGTATTTACATCAAAAATCATCACTTTCAATGAAATGCTGAAAATGTTTGAAAAAGAAATGTGGATAATGGAGAGTGATGAATTTATGAGAGCAGCACAGTGAGATGTTAAGGATTTATTTGCGGAAAGTT